TCTGCCCAAACCTCTAACAAAGAGCCCTTGAAGAGAAATCGGACGGGCAAAATTGAGGGGTCGGGGTGCAGGCCATGGAACTGCCAGATCGAAAAGGAGATTTTGCCTTTCATCCTTTTCCTCTCAACTTTTTTCTTTCTGACTTCTCTTTTCTTTCCCATTAATCCTTTTAATTATTGTTTCTTCATTTCACTTCTTCCGAATCCAAACAACTCCCCTCCCACCTCCCCAAATCGCCTCATAATTTATTACAGAGTATTCCCAGCCACTGATAGCATCCCTCTTAATTAACTGGAGAGAAGCTCAAACTCTATACGCGCCTTTGAACCGACTTCTTCGAACACCTAACAAGCTTCCGAACTGGGCTACAAACGCAGCGTCTCTCGGTGGAAGCTCTTGGTCCGCTCTGGGGGATTTACTTCCAAGTGGATCTGTACAGAACGCAATCAATATACCTCGAAGAAAGTGCGTGGCCTGTGCGGGACGTCAGGTCTCCTAAATTAATGTCGATGTACTAAACAAATGAACGGAGCATCTGCCTCTTTTTACTTTGAAACAAAAAAACAAAAACAAAAAAAAAGCAAACATTAATTTATAGGAGCATGGAAGGAGCCCAAAGCAACCATTTAAAACAGAGGGTAATCTCCCCACCACGACTTCTTCTTCCAATCCTGCACACTACATTCAAACGGGCCGTACGTTTTATTGATTTCTATCGATCTTTCAAAGTCCTTCTTGGTTAAGAAGGAGGCGATGGTTATGAACTTGCCTAGATGGCTCTTTATGGAAAAGCTCAAGACGACTGGAGGAAGCCAAGGCCGAATTGCCCGGCAGTATTAAACAGTCGGGCAAACTTGTCACTCCGGGAAGCCGAAGGATTCCGACCAAGCAGCCACCTGGCTCGGAGACGAGGAAAGGGGCCGCTGGCTGCGAGGCTTTTTTTTTTTTTTCCGCTCCGTTTTTCCTCTCCTCCTCTCTCCGCGGGGGCTCGGAGGGTCCTTCGCTCCGTTGTTTCTGGCCGGCACTTTTTCACGGGAACTCCGAAGAAGCAGCCGCAGCAGTTTGCAGGAGAAACGTCCCGAGAGCCGCGTTTTGTCCCGTCCAAGAAGGGCGGGCAAAAATAAGTCCCAGTGACCCGCCATTGCTGCCAGGTTAACTAGCGCCGTCTGATTAAAAACACAATATTATGGAAACCAAATTGCCGCTTCGTTCCTTTCGCGTCTGGGAGGCCATTCCAACGTTTAGCGGCGACTAAGCAATGGAAATCCTAAAACGGCGAAGGGGTTTAATTTAAAAGGAAAGGAATCCCGGCTTTCCCTCAACAACCTGATCTGGGGTTGTGGCAAGAAATCCCGCCGCCTTTCCCTTCAACGCAGCGGGGCTGCACACCTTCGTGGCGGCTGAACGCTCCAGAGGAGAAGGCCACTTTGCTTCCAAGGCACTAGGCTAGGATCTGGGTGTAAATTGACTTAATGCCTCAACCGGAAAATCGGGATCAAGCCAAATGCTTGGATTTAACCGAATTGCCGGTGGGGGCTCCAAATGGCTTCCTTGAGTTTACTGCTCTCCTGACAGCCATCTGCCATAGGCAGGGCAAGCCAAGCTCCCTCAGAAACCAGGGCAAAAGTCCTCAGGTGCCTGTAAATAATTAAGATTGCACTCGCCCTCCTTTCTCTCCTTAATGAGACTTAATATCAGGCCACCAGGGGATTCCAGATTTAAACAGGGGCCTGTTGCAGGCCAGACTATGGGTGCCATTGACCGTCTTTATATGGGGCATATTTAGCACGTACCCATTTGCTGCCATAGATGGTTATTTTCATTAAACTCTCCATTTCTGCATGAAGATTCCCTTGCATTCGCACCTGTGAAAAGGCATTCATTTCAGATTGGCTTGTTTGGCCAAAAGAGATAACATTTATGCATCTTTTTCCTCATTTCAGTCTCTCATCTATCTGGCCTTAGGAGAATTTGTTGCTCTTCTGGGATTTCAGTAGAAATGGACCGGCTGTCCTTTGGACTCTTGTGCAATGAGAAGCAAAAGGCCTGAACACACACACACACACACACACACAATGCTTTTCTCCTATTGAGCCAAAGGTTTCTCAAATAGGTTACAATGGAGGCATTAGCGGCAGCAGAATGCTTGGAGTTAGATTTAGCTGTTTAAAATGAATCAGTGAAATGAATGGAACTGTTCCCCACCTTTAATCAGCAAGTTCTCCACGAATAAGATTCAGAATCTGAAACCCATTCATTTAATTTTGAATCTGTTGAACGAGAGGTGGTCTTATTCTAACTTCGAATTAACAGCAAAGCTTCTCTTGCTAGCAGAAAAAAATGTAGGTTACTTATGCATTTCTAAGAATGCTTACTCGGGAGTAAGTCCATGGTGGCACAGTGGTTAGAATGCTAACCCGCAGGCTAACTCGCTGCTCAATCCAAGAGATCGATTCTGAGTGGCTCAACATTGACTCAGTCTTCCATCCTTCCGAGGTCAATAAAATGAGGACCCAGATTGTCGGGGACAATAGGCTGACTCTGTAAATTGTTTAGAGAGGGCTGTAAAGCACTATGAAGTGGTATAAGTCTAAGTGCTATTGCTAAGTCCCACAGCTAGATATGAGCCCCAGCATACTCCACTCTAAGGTCTGCAGCCATCACATTTTGTCTCACTTCTGCCTTTGGCTGTGACCCCTTGAGGAGTGGGTAGCAGTAGTCTTGAAATAAAACAGGGTCCCTCTTATTGCAAAATCCAGAGTTGGAGTGGGAAATCCTCTTCTGTTTTGGCTGGATTTTTGTTTGCCTCCTCCTCCTCTTTCTGATAAACCAGAACCTATACTATTATTTTATACCAAGATACCAAGAAACTTTTATTCTTTGTACAGATTGCGATCAGGATTAAGCCCATATGCTGGGTCAAAGCATCAGAAACAAAACTAAAGTTTTCATTGAAGAATTCCGTGATAAATATTAGTGTTTGATGAGTTGCTCCCTTTATGTTTGGGTCTGTATCCTAAACTATTTTAACCTTATTCTTCTGCCCAAGAATTGGGGGGGGGATCTTTCACCCACATATCAATCCTATCTCAGGGTCAAGGCTAGATGTTGCTAAGTTCAAATTTCTACATCATGCATGAAATAAACTTTTCCTTGTTTCTGTGTGTTCAACGTTTCATATGCAAAAATATTTACACATAAATACTATTTTTTATCAGGACTTTGTTACCTATCATACTTTCTCTCTCAGCCTGACCCATCCCATAGAGTTGTAGCTGTGGGAAAAATAGGAGGAAGGTGTGTTGGATAGGTTTACTCTCTTGAATTATTTGTAAAAACAATAAAAGAAGGATACACACACACACACACACACACACACACACACACACACACATACTTTAGCCTAATACCTTTAGGTCAAATATATTTTGTCTTGTATTGTTAAATACAAAAAAGTACAGAATTTTTTTTAGCAGAAATATAAAAATTAAGAGCTTGAAGAGCCGTTGAAAAGATTTGATTACTTACCAAGCTAAATGAAGGAACGTCCCATTTCAAGTGGAGATACTGAATGGACCATAAAGTCTGGGGGGGTGGGGGGAAAGCATTAAGATTAAAATAATTTTAGGCAAGAAAGGCATCAATTCATCGCTCAAGTCAGCCTTTTGAACAACAGACTGTTTGTTTAATATCAGACCCGGTTCTCCCCTTTTTGGAGCATACCATTCCTTCTTTTATTTTCCTCCCCCTCCCCCATTTTGGAGGATAGTATTTTTATTTATGTTTATATATGTGAATAACACTGAACAAGCAGGCATCATTTTATATCAAAGGAACCTTATACAGACATAGAACTCTCATTGGCTAGAATAAAGTAGCTTGCAAATAGAGACTCATTAAAAAATTTCAGGATATTATGGTCTCATAGCTGAATCCCTTCTCATTATACTCCAGATCTTGTCTTGGTTTCTTTCTGGACAACGGAGTTTACATTTAAGGGACAATAAATGACAATGTAAATGGCTTGTCTCAGCATCAGACATTCTCCCCTCATCTTTGTAAATGTAATATTATATCATTTAACCAGTTTTAACTGTAGGCATACTTTTATACCAACCATACAATACTATTGTATTCAGGTATATTATTCATGGATTGGCAGTATATAGATATACTTACGTCATAATATCATATTATAATAATACAACTGAACTGAGACAGTCAAATGTCTTCCTTGTTTTACTTTCAATCCATTTTAATAGATAAGATTTTCCACCCAAACACAGGGCAGGCATGAAGATACTTACAGGAAAGCATTGTTAAATACTTGCATTAATCTCTGAATGCTTGGGGGTGCGGGGGGGGGGGCAGAGACTTTTCCTGGTGTGTTTTAATTATATTACGGATAGAAACGGCAGCCAATCCTAAAGGAGAAGCTGCACAATTAGCAGCGCGAAGATCAGAACCCGTTTTACGGCCCAAAGCGAAATGCCCCGCCCCGGTCTGTAGCGATTGGCTTAAAGTGCCTCTGACGACATATATTAACCCAAACTACCCTAAAGATGTAGCTGTGCATGGAGACCAAGCTGGGAAAAGCGACCAGTGCATTGCGCAGCTCCGAGTCTCCTCTATCTAAGCGTTGGGCTCCGTTTCCTCCTCTCCTTCTTTCTTCCCTCTTTCGAGACCCTCCTTATCCCACTTCTCAAGCGGGTCCCACGTCGGAGCAGGGAGGCCGCCGGATTGCCCCTGCTCCCCCGCCCCCGAAGACGGACTTGCCTGCGTTTTGTATTCCCGGGAGCTGAGTAAGAAGAAGAAGGAGGAGAAGAACCCAAGAGGAGGAGAAATGCTGCTCACGCTTTAATCGAAGGAGACGCGGTTCCCGTCCAGGCGGCGGGCCTGGGGGAAGCAGGGCGGCGGAGGGGAGGGAGACCTGGGGAAGTTAGGACAAAAACGCAGGTGTAAGTAACACCCCCCCCCTTTACTCGGCCCGCTTTCTGGCTAGTTTGTTGGCGAACTAGTCGGAAGGCGCTAAGGGAGGACAGCTGAAGGCTATTGGGGGAGCGGGGGGCTTCTTTTTTGCCTGTCTTCCCTGCAACTTCCAAAGTTAAGGCCTCCTCCCGGCCCCGTATGAGGGCGGCGGTGGGGATTGAACCTGCCCTCTCGGCGCGCGGGGGACTTGGCAGCGCCTGCCCGATGGCGAGGAGCCGGTGCTAAGGCGGGGGTCTTCACGGGAGCGGACATCCAGGGGAGCGGATCCGGGGTGGCGGGCGGCCGCGGAAGGCCGGCGGCGATGAGTTTGGTAGGTGGCTTCCCCCACCATTCGGTGGTCCACCATGACGGCTACCCCTTCGCCGCTGCAGCCGCTGCCGCCGCCGCAGCCGCCGCCAGCCGCTGCAGCCATGAGGAGAACCCCTACTTCCACGGCTGGTTGATCAGCAGCCACCCTTCGGAGATGTCCCCGCCCGACTACAGCATGGCGCTCTCGTACAGCCCCGAGTACGCCAACGGAGCGCCAGGCCTGGAGCATCCCCACCATTACGTGGGCGGCGTGGCTCCCCCTGGTAGCGGCGGCGGGCCGCCGGGCTTGGGGGGCGGCCCGCGACCGGTCAAACGGCGCGGCACGGCCAACCGCAAGGAGCGGCGCAGGACTCAGAGCATCAACAGCGCCTTCGCCGAGCTGCGCGAGTGCATCCCCAACGTCCCGGCCGACACCAAGCTCTCCAAGATCAAGACGCTGCGTTTGGCCACCAGCTACATCGCCTACCTCATGGACCTCCTGGCCAAGGACGACGCCAATGGCGAGGCCGAGGCCTTCAAGGCGGAGATCAAGAAGACCGACCTCAAGGAGGACAAGAGGAAGAAGGAGCTGGTCAGTGTCTCCCGCGGGGCCGGGAGGGGATGGGGCGGGGAAGGGAAGGCTCACGAAGCCACCGGCGCCGAACCCCCTCGCCTTAGATCGGCCCTCTCTCTTCTGACGGGCAGCCGAAAAAAGTGGCTCAGAAGCGGAGCGGGCCGCGCCTCTTAGAGGCATCCGGCTAAGTCCGCCCTTAAGCGACTGAGATTTAGGGGCCAATGAGGCAGGGGAGAGAGAGAAATAGTGAGTTTCGGGTCCTGCAACAAAAGCCCGGGTCGATTCTTAGGGGTCCCGAATGGATCCAGGAGGAAGATTCCTTTCCTTTCCTCTCAAGGGCGTTTGGAAGGGGGGCGGCGAGGCTCGCTTGAGGGCCCTGCCCAGAGAAACAATAGCCTGGTGTCCCCGATCCCAGGCCAAGCTCATGGAGCCAAACTGAGGAGGGAAGAATTTGACCCTGGTCAGGGCTGGCCGTAAGGGATAAAGACAGCGATTTGGGGTTGGTTTCCAAATAAAATATTCTCAATTTGAAGTAAATGTGTATTTTTTTAAAAAAAAAACGTTTAAACGTTGTATAATGTTTTCGGGAGTTCAGACCCCGGTAAATGGGAGGCCCGTGGATAGAACATGCCCCACCCCCAAAGTGTGAATTGCATTCCTGTGGCCGATTGGAAATGGTCCTCGAGATAGTAATATATTATAATTCATATATAATAAAGCATCCATCTTCCTTTATTCCTAAGGAAGACTTTTTTAAAAAACGAGAAAGTCAGGGAAGATTCAGAAATAGTTTCACTGGCTGGAGCAGCCGGTTGCATCGCTTCCCTTCTGACTGGGTTTAAGGAGTTGCTGTGTAACTAACACAGGTCCATGAGGGAAAGGGGAAGAAAAACTATTTCTTTAGATGAATTTGCAACTCATCCTTCAAAATAAACCCCATCCTTTTCAGCTGTATTGATTTCTAGTCTCAAGGCCTTTTAGGACTGCAGATATGTGAAACTAGTCAAGGATTCACAAATTGGCTAAAGGAATCCACTAGGATTTTGTAGAAACTGTCTTGGGAGCCAACATCTTTATAAATTTGACCCTGAATGAAATTCTTTGGAATGATCTCAGCAATGATATGATATCTACCAAGAACTTCTTTTTAAAAAAACAGCAGCTTTGGGGAGTGGGGGGGGGGGAACGGACTGTTTCTCTAATTCTTCTTTCTTTAGCTCTCCAATGTTGGAAAAGTTTCCATTCCAGTTTAAATCCAAGTGTTTAGTTTTTGCTCAAATGTGGGTTGGCTGGGAAAAGTTCCTCATTTCAGTTTGAGGATGAAACCATCAGTTTGCAACCCTCCCATTACTAGTTTCCCATCACAATCCGCATTTTGACTTTAAGTTTGTTAATTGGGGCCCAAGATTATCAGAGTTCTCTCCTAGAATTTATAGACACACCGGGAAAGGAATATAATTTGGGAGAAGGAATAAAGGGTGTGGGACACCTTCTATTGTTATCCCTCAACAACTGCCTTGCAAACCCAGAGGAATTAAAATGGTTTGACTCTAAATTTCAGGTGATATTGCAGTTTCAGATTTACATTCCTTCCCTGCCCCATGAGTGCCAGTCAGTATTCTTTGTCACTACATAAACATGCAAACTGCAAAATGTGTGATTCTGTTATTGAAATTTTCTTCAACCTGGTAACCTCCAGATAGCTACAAATTCATTCTCAACAGAAGATACAACACAGCTGGCAGGCAACAGCCTGGGGAAACATGGACAATGGGATATTAAGTCTCCAAAAGTTGCCCTTGGCTCACACTACTCAATTTCTTTCAGAAAATATCCAGGTCTGGCTGCATTTTTTACTTCCATTCATATAATAAACTAAATGGTGGGGTTAAAATTAAAATGGCAGCACAACTTTATTTGAAACCAACTACAGCTTATATAGCTTATAGGAAGCCGTTCCGCTTCTACCAGTTATCATGTTTCTTGATTTCTTGCAAGCTAAAAGCAACAGAAAAAGCTTGACTGTAAGAGATTTTCCCATGTGATCAATTGACAACCTCAGATTATTTTCTTTCATATTTTGGGATGCTATTTATGGAAATAAATGTCAGGTTTTAGGGCATGTAAGCTAAAAGATGCATCCCTAACCAGACTAGAAGAATTAAGGTTACAAACAAGCCTGACAGTCATTTTAAGTTATAGTTTAGGAAAGGGTCAAGATAAAGAAATGAATAAATTCCATATTGGAATTTCATTTCAAGCAAGCATGCCTATAACCCATTGAAATTGATGGAATATGTGCATATATAAAAAATTATAGCAGCTTGAGCATTCAGTGGATTGGGGCCTCAAAAATCCACATTCACTTGAAAAAAATCCACTGGAGAAATTAATGGCATTTTGATCAAAATACGTCCCATATAAAATACATGTCCAATTTTGGAGATAAATATATGGAAAGTGATTTAATTTTTGAAGGCTGGAACCTTTTTGAACAGTGTCAATTAAACCTTGTAGAGCTATAGTTAGAATAAAAAAAAAGTACCAGGCAGTTTAAGTATCTGCTCTTTAAATGGCATAGGGCGGATTGTGGTGGAAATATCTTTTCCTGAACCTACTATCCACCGAAGGGGTGGGGGAGGGGGACACATTTCCTTATTGTATCAATACTTGAGGTAGCCCATTTAACAATCAATTAAGCTGACCTTTAGCATATGTGTATCAGAGACATCCATTTTTCTTGCAGATATGGTGCAGACAATATATAGCTGAGTGGCAAAATGATGAATTTGGAGACTAGGGTGTGTGTGTGTGTGTGAGTTTTACAGCAAGCTTACTAAGAGGCTTACTCTAAACAGTCTGTGCATTTCGTATCATCAGTTCAATCGCAAATACAGTTGCAGGCTATTTAGCTATCGGTTTGCAATTAAGACGACCCCATGATCATCAGAAGCAATTTTTAATTTGGGATTTAAATAAAGATAATTTAAGTAGGTGTGTGTATGTGTGCATCCATGACTCACCCGGAAAGAAACACCAAGGTTGTTAAAATCTGGATTACATGGCAGTGTTTTGTTCTGATTTGTGATCAGGCGGGCTGAAGACACAAAGCTGAATGGGTTATCCCATAAGTTGAGAAGGGAGAGTAAGGTTTCTTTGACCGTAGTCCCCTTGCTCTGCACCCAGACGCTTTGAGATCCAGCCGTCTTGCCAAGCAACCCCAGCAGGCATCTACAAAGAAGTAAATGTTGAAATGAACAGTGAAATGAACAGCCGCTTCCTTCTGACATGTGGATAATATATCTACGGTTGCAACCTTAGTTAGTTAGAACAGCCAGCGCTCACGAGAATAAACCGGCTTGTGAAAAATCAAACCCTGAATCTGATTTTCAGGATTTCTGTTCTTCTGCGGTCAGGTCTGGCCAAAGGGGCCCCAAAGATGGGAGGGAGTGATCCAGAAATGAGAGGAAGGATAATGGCTTTGTCTCTCCTCTTCGCTCCCTTTTCCAAACAGAACGAGATCTTGAAAAGCACAGTGAGCAGCAGCGACAAGAAAACCAAGGGAAGGACTGGCTGGCCCCAGCACGTTTGGGCTCTGGAGCTCAAGCAGTGAAGGCGAGAGAGCGTGAAGAGTGGAGAACCCGGTCCTTCCGGGACTTTGGACCTTCCAAGGGAGGTTGCTGAGCTGAGGACTTTTCCTTCTTGGTTTGGAATCGTATGGTTTATTTATGTGCAATTTCCCTCCCCTAGTCTTTCTCCTTTCAAAAAAAAAAAATGTGGATCCTGGAAGAAAAGCATTCCATAGTTCAGTGAAATAAATGAAGAGGAAAACTCCGGTGTGGTAAGGAGAAACACAATCTCCAAAGGGTGTTGTTTCCCCCCCTCCATTGTGATGAATGTTATGTTGCTTTGTTTGTATAGAACCCAGAGGGCAAAAGGAAATCAAAATCAAAAATGAAGGCATTAGTGTGTAATATGAAGTGTATACCTTTAATTCCTGCTGTTTTGAATGATTGTGGATGATAACTGTAAGCCAGTTGTTTCCCCCCCATCTTCCCCCCCCTCCCAGGATTCGAGGTAGGACTTGGGGTTGTCAGAGTTCCCCCTCCCTTGTCCACAGTGAGGAAAATAGTGTCTAAATTCTTTGTTAATCTGCACTTCAGTTCTAAAGGAAGCAAAGCAAAAATTAAAACTAAAATTAAGCAAACTACAATCGGTACTGTTGAATACTTCATATTGAAAGGCCCAAATGTTGTAAGTATTCGTTGGATCGTTGAGTGTATTTTTTAAAAAACTTAAAATAATTACATTTTATAACCTGAAAGGCTTTAAGCCCAACCTCAAAATCTTTTTTTAAAAAATCTAGAAATTAACCAAAGAGGTTGGTTAAAGGGAACTAAAACTACAATTCAATTATGAAGACAAAAATATCAAAATCCATCCTGTGTACGATTAGCTGGGAAAATAACGTTGAACCCTCCTAAGATTCACTGCCGAGTAAAGGTGCTTAAGAACAGCTTGTAGTTTTGTCTGGTTGGTTTTTTTTTTAAGGCTTTTATTTAGGAAAACAAATGGAGGTGACCTCAGCGGGCTTGGAAACTGAAGGGCCAAAGAAATTCCAAAGGCGGGACATGTTTATTCAATTATGATTTGGAGATTTTGGCGAGGAGCAGGTTTTTCTCAAAAGGGACATTCCTTTGTGATCAAAAGAGAGAAGACCTTTTGAATTTATGTAAGAGTCGCCTTGAAAAAAGGAACTGCAGAACCCAGTTTTCCTTTGCTTTCTGGGGAAGAAGAGAGGGATAGGGTCCGCTTACTTTTGTACTGTGATTTTTACTGATGGACTAATAATTTACAGCGGCCTTTGAAAGGTGTTGTGAAAGAGGGAGGAAACCAAAGACGGAAGCTAATCTGGGTCTGTCTTTCACACTTATCACAGTGCGGGTGCCCCCCACACCACCGGCTTTGCTGCTTGACGTGGGCCTTCCAGCTTGCAAGGCGTTGTTGGGAGCGGTTTCTGACGGCAAATCACCGAGAGGTTATGGCTGGGGGACGCCACGGCAGAGTTAAGTGGGTTGGTTGGCTTGGTTACGTAACAATCTAGGCATCTAGAAAATGTGTCTGTGAGCCATTTACCAGGAAATGTGAGTGACTTTCTCCTCTCTTTGCGATATCTCCCCGAGTGAACATTTTCCAAAGGCCTTTTTTATTTTATTCTTTTTAACCCTACCAAAAAAAAAAAAAAAATGCCCTGGCAAAAGGCTGGAGAATTAGAATTGGCTTGTTTGCATAGGAGGAGGGAGGAAGACGAGGGCTTGCGAGGCAGCACTTGGAACAACATCGGGAGAAAAAAGGGGCCTTGGTCCTTGCTTTGGGCGAGGACAATGCTATATATAGGCAATTGGTGGGACGCCTTGGGAAGTCGAGGTGTAAGAAATCGCCTTTGGAGAAAGACCTCCCCTCCCCTCTGTGGGCAACAAGACATTACCTAACGGTAGAACTGAAATCAGAATATCAAGCAGAGAAAACGCGCAATCCAGCAATCTTCATAACTGCTGCTATAAAAATTTCAGGTTGAAGCTGTAAAACCTAATGGCCACAGATGGGGGGAAGGGGGATGGTGGTAGTGGTTTAAGACTGTTTGCTTGATCGCTCTTTGTTTGGGACCAAGTGACCGGAACTTTCCCCTTTTCTTTTCTCTTGCTCCTTTTTTGCATCTGTATCCTCTAGCGACTACTGAAACCTCCTCTGCACCTTCAGCTCTGCTCCAGATCCAAAGAGCCAGGCATATATGTCAGTTATAGTAAAGATAACAAATTTTCCAATGTCTTCCGATAGCTGCTCCCTCCTCTCCCTTTTCAATGGCAGTTGTTTTGCCCCATTGGCCAGGCCTCGCTGACTACAGGAAGGTTGTGAGGTTAGAACAACCAGCCAGAATGATGTGCCCTCTTCTAGCACTGGGGTCAGACTCCTTGGACTGGCCGGTGCACTTGCTTTCAAGAAAACGCCCTTCTCATTAAAAAAGAAAAGAAAAGAAAAGAAAAGAAATCACTGCTACTGCAGCTGAAGTTGGATCCCACCATGCCTCCGCTTCCTTTCCAGGATTTGTCCTGGGCATTAATTTTCAGGTCGCCAAAGTTTCGGATCAGCCCTTAGAACGTCTAGTCTCCCGGCACAATCACATGTAATCAATATAAGATGATTTCATCAACCTATAAACACAATTCTTCACACTGGACTTTATTAAAAAAAAAAAAAACATTTTGCTTTCACTCAGATGCCCTGAATTCCGGAGCTGCCGCTCCTTTTCTCTTAAATTATTTCCCACTTTATAAGGGGAGAAGGGTATTCACTCTTATTTCTTAACCCTTCTAGTTCCCAGGCAGTAGGGAGAAGTCTAATCTGCGTCTGGTTAATTTATTAGAAATTACTCGAGGAAGCAGTCTTCTTCTCACGCCAGTGTTCACAGCTCAGGCAAAGCACGAAGAACAATTAGGAAGAAGTTGTTTCCAAGATCTCCGAGAAACAATAAATATTGCGGTCTTTTGGGCGTACTGTACTCTATCGTGGATTTTACCATCTCTCTTTCTGGAAGTCGACGGGCGCGCACGCATTCAGGCAACGCGAAACGAAAGCTGGGAGTGAAAAGGCAGGCTCCAACTTAAAAAAGTCCGGAGTTTTCCAAGGTGCATCTCACGTTAGGTTTTTTTCGGATATAGTTAGGGGGGGTGGAATCATCGTAGAGGCGTGGGGTGGACGATACTACCTGAGCTGCCCCGTACGTTAAGAGTTCAGGCGCATATTGTTTAAAATATCTGTGGATTAAACTTACCAGAACCAACGTTTCCTTCTCAGATGGCAACAGCGCAATATTGCTTGCAAGCGTTCGTGTATTTCAAAGCTCTTTTATCGGGCAATGAGATTTCAAACCCAGGAGCATAAATAATAGAAGATACCCGTCAGTTACAGGACAGCTTTTCTTCCTTCGTCGCAAAAACGATCCCTAAACTTTGGGCTTCCCAAATGGTCCCTTTCGGTCAGCGGGCGATCCCAGGGAAAGGGTGACGGCGAGCGACGAAGGGCCTAGGGAGAGAGGCGGAGGGAAGGGCTTTTTTAATTGCTCGGTAATGGGGCTGTTGCTATTTTCTCAGGAGCAATCATTCCTGGAGCTAAATCGCAAGAGCCGTAGACAGGCCGGAGCCGACAAAAATGTAGCTTTTGACGTTAAAAGCTAAATGGGGAAGCGGGGCGGCGGGAAGGTAAATTGATGGCCGATTGGGATGTCAGGAGCCCTGGCCCCAAATCGCTGGATTGGAGCGGCGGGCCTGATAAGGTCCTCGTCAGAGTCGGTAGCCCTTTTTTGGGCAGCGGCTGGCGGGGACCTAGGACGGGTCTGGCAGGGGGGGGGAAAAAAAGGAGGCTTCCCACAGCCCCGCTCTCTCCCCTTCCCCCGTTCCTCCTCCTTTCTCCCTATCTGCAAAGTTCTCGCGAAGGTCAAGCTTGAAGTCTCTCCCTCGCCTTTTGCACGCGCGCGCGCGCAGATCTAGTGAGGCGAAAACGACTTCGGGCTGAGCCCCACCGGGATGCGGGGACTTGCTCTTTTTTGCGCCTTCCGGCTGGCAAAAAATAGCTTTTTTAAAAAAAAATCTGTGGCGAAGTAACCGGAGGAGAAAATTAACAAAGAAGTTTGGGGAAAAAGAAGCTAGTGCAACTGTTTCTAATTTTATTTTATTTTTTAAAAGCCTCCCCACGGAAAAGTCGAAGGGTTTGCAAGGACCGTGCAATCCGAAAAAGCTCCTATCCTTGCGGAGGCTTCTGGGCGTGTAAGGTTCCGGCTGATGGAGGCGGTACTGGGGGGCCGGGGCTTTAGAAAGGGCTCCGTTTCAAGGGAGGAAAGTTTCCAGCCGGAAACCGGAATCATCACGCTGGCTTGGAAGCTTGTACCCACCCGTTGGGTCTTCCTAAGCCCATGGAAGACAACATGCCTCAAGCTAGTTTAGAGGCCGTTCATATCCCATGGATGATTAGAGATAACCTCTAAATAGTCTGGATTGCAAGCCCATAATTTCTATTTAAAAAAAAAAAAAAAGATCCCGACCGCAGCTCACAACACTTTAAAAAACATCATAACATATACAAAAGAAAAGCCGAAAAACATTCCTTTTAGATTGAGATAAATCCACTGGTTTTTCCGTCCCTTTTAAAAACAACAACATGTCTTTGTGGCATCTTGAAGCTTGTCACAAACAAACACACTTCCATAGGGCCTGTACCAAGATTCTTAGCTAGTTGCAGCAAAATTGCAGCAAAAAAATTGTCTGGATATTCTACTGTACATTAAAACGGCAATACAAAAAAATGTTTATGTCTCAGTGAACTGGATGGAATTACTCCTAAATAATAGTTGCATAGCACTCTGCTGTCAACCCCTCATTGCAGCCTGAGCTTTGCTTGACATTATCTTGATGCCAGCCGGACTTACTTTCTAGTAAACTTGCCAATGAGTTAAAGTTTTAAAGTTCAATAGACGGATTCAAGGAGACAACTTTCCAAAGAAATGCCTTCTATTGAGGACAACAGACAGATTATTAATGTGAAGTGGGAAGAGGAGCTCTAGAAAGGCTTTTTTAGATTTTTCAGATGTAGCTTTTGTACATAAATTTCCTCCCCCACCTTCTAAAGTATTTAGCAGTCTCAATTTAATCTTCAGAATGGGGTTCTTGCTTCTCAGCTATTTATCAACCATCTTTTCTTTATTAACTAAGGCTGCCAGAGTAATTCAACCATTCTTACTGATACCACAATTAGAACATGCTTTATACTTTCTAAACTAAAGAATGGCTGGTGCAGGTAGCAGACTTAATAAGAAGGGATCTACACTCTCCAAAGCATGGAGTGCTTACTGGACTAGGACAAGTGGAGTTAGCTTGTTGGTCAACAGAAACTTGTGGGAGCAATTCCTTTCACTTGCTTATTTTCAATTTACACTGCTTAAGATTTTGTCAATTGCAGCCTGGCATTCTGATCCTAAACACATTTGCTTAGAATTAAGTATCTTTGATTTCAATGGGACTTTACTTACCTATAATATCTTCCGTATGGATTGTATTCTGTTATAGCTTTGCAGGAGTACTGCTGCAAAGTATTTTCATTTACAGTAATCTGGGGTTTTAAGCTTACTTGCTAGGAAGTGAATCCTACTGGGATAGATGTGAAACCTACCCTTTAGTGGTATTATGGAGAGGAGAAAGGC